TTCCTACACATTAATTCACAAAAAGCTCGTTATTTTAAAATTAAATTATTACAGAGAAATAATTTACCTTTACAATAAACGACACAATTGTTTTTTAAAAACATAACGATCATAATACAAATTTTATCGCATCAATCGATAAATATATTGTATTAATAATTATTAACTATTACAATTTTAAAATATATAATAAAAGATTTTTTTTAATTTACAATTTTTATTTACCAATTTAATACATTTATATCAATGTAATAAATCCTTTTATCGTATTGGCATTTTTTTTCATATGAATAAAATGGTTGTATCCTTAACACATAACGGTCGATAAATAATGTTTATTCAAATTGATTGTTATTTTCATTGAGTGTGGATAGCGGCATGCCTAATAAATATTTCATAACAATGTCGACTTGATCCGACCAGTTTTCGCAAAGTTATAGTAATGTTTAAAAACATGTAATTTATATAGTTATATAGTACCCAAAACATGGATAATCCACTAAATATCATGTTAATAAACCCAAAATAGCTTTCAAATCAAAAAATATTAATATTTTTCTAAAATTTGTCTACAGATTTGTTTATATATTTAATATAATATAAGACCTATTTTCATTCTGATGTTTTAATGAAAGCAAGTGACAAATACTTGGTAATATCTTAAAATTTAAAGTTTTAACTTTAGAGCAGTCGTAATTCATAATAACAATTTGTATAGTTTTATTATTACATTACTCGTGTTTAAGTATGCTATGACCGATCTAAAGTAAACTTTAATACGAATTCATATCTGTTTTTAGATTGTTTGTCGGATCACTGGTTCGGCCTGTGCAATGGATAAAAAATAATGTGTTTTGGCTGAAAAAATCGGTCGGTATCCAGAGTAGACTAGTGTTGAGCGTTAGAAGAATCATCCAGTATATCAAAAATGCTATGGTCTATTTATTAAAAATAAATAATGCATTAAAAAACCAGTAATGCAGTAAAATGTTAGAAAATGTTTTAGGTATAGAGGGACTTTGCAACATAAATGATTTTACTCAACAAATCTGTAAAATTGTTTACTTATAATAATTAGTAATACAAACTGATTTATTATTATTTAATAAATTCATTTATTTTTGTGATTTATTATGGATACGAGTATGGTCTGTGCATGCGGCAGAACAAATAGATGTAGTAATTATGTAATTGTTTTTGTTTAAGTCGTCATTTTTCATAAAACCTGCCACATCTTTGGCTTCACTTGACTCCCTCCCATCCCTACTATACCCACCCCTCCACTAACAACATTATGGTTTTGGATTTATATAAAAAAATACGCAGTTGAAAAAGGTTAAATTTATTGTAATGTGGTTCACAGGCTTTTTGTACAAATATATTTTTTGTATAACAATCTATGACACATAATGAAAAAAATATTGAATACCTACAAAGTAACAAACGGCAAATATGCATACATTTTAAAAGTTATGCGTGTTTTAATTTAAAAAAATATAAAAACCTGTATTGAGTTTTTTTTTTATGTTGTAATATAAACTTTGTCCATATTTTCAAAGAAAATTTAGTTTTTTTCATTTTATTGAATAATAATTTTTTCCTAATACCCACTACACATAACAAAATTAAAATCTGAATAAATAATTATACTTGAAATTAAGTTTATTTTTTTTGTTATTTTCTTAATAGGTTTATCATATATAGAGCAACGCCTATTTTACATTGTGAATAATTTTCAAAATTTATATCCTAAGAATAGGTACACAAAAAAAAAAAAAACAAAGAAAATTTCCTTCCTTTTTTGGTTTTTTCGTGAGAGCGTTTTTGCTGTTCCAAGCTGTTAATAACGATGGAAACACAAACATACATGTAGTTATAGATTAAAAAAAGTCAAAAGATTTCATAAGCAATAATATTAATAATCACCATTCAATCGAATCTATGGAAATTAGTAGTTAGTCTCAGGCGTCTTGAAATTGAATGGTTCCTTTTTTTTTGGAATAAGTTACTAAATAAGAAAACTGTTTGTTCTGAAATCCTCACGTAACATCCTTTTACGTACTTTCCAATGATTTCAGAAATTACATAGATTTGATAGTTTCCTTGACTGTCCAGAATGACAGCTCTTATCAACCGATAAACCGTATGGTACGTTATTATTGTGTTCCATTCAATAGTAAGTAAAATTTACCATGACACAACCCTACTATGCTCTGTCCCTACTATGCCTCAAACCCACTGTACTGGCTTTTTCCTATGGGAATCACCTATTTAATTACTTTCGGTCTCCAGATATCTTAATAATTTACAAACAACTCTTCCAGAGTCGTAAAGTGATTTTCAGGAAACTTCAAACACTTTATAATAAAAAATATATTGAATACAAAAAAAACTCGATAAAAGTGTAATACAACAAATTCATATCGAAAAAAAAAACAGTACAAAGGGATCGGGGAATAGTTGGGAACGAAGCGTAGTGGGGTCGGGGCCATAGTGGGGACAGGGAGGTTACAAGTTTAAGGAAATTTTAAATCTGAGAGTGAAAAAATCACTATCGAATAAGCGCTTCGATGTAAATCAATAGTTTGTATTTTCAAGCCAGTACAGTCCTAACCAAGCACAGTGTAAACCAGCAAAGTAAGAAAATATTAAATTGAGGTGCTGTGTATACAAATAAGCATCAAAGCGTTTATTTAAAAGTCATTTTATTCGAGAGGACTTGTACAGTAGAGTATATGCATAATAGAATGAATGCATCAAGGCGATGGAGAGGTCTACAGGAATTGCTATAAATTAAAGTGAATAAAATCACTAGGGATACAAATTTGTTTTACCCCTAATCTATAAAATAGCCAAGTTGGTCCAAGTTTTTATTAGGACGGGTTTTTTTATAAGAAACTTATTTAACTATAATTTTCTGATTTAAAGCTCTGTATAATAATATATTTAACATTTTTACTTATTTGGTACTAATAATATTAGGAATATTTGAAATATTTGACAATTATTTTTTACAACGCTAACCAAAATTGTTTTTTGTTTGCGAAATATTTATTTGGCGCTAGTATTTTTTAGACACATGAACGTTCTGTTATTATACAAATAAGATTGCCATTTGCGTCATACTTTAATAAAACTGTATCAATATAGTATAAATTACATTTGTTAAATAGTGTTTATTATATCCCTTTACATTTTATTCTACACATAATGTTATCCAAATTAATTAATTATAAATGTTTTTAAAAACAACTGTCCAACTTTTACTATGGTTTAATTTAGGGACACGAAAAATTTCTAATTGGATGAACTAAGTAAACAATTGGCACAACTAAATATGTATAGGAACAAATTTGTATTAAGTTATTTCAACAACAAATTTACTGTACCCTAAGATATATAATAGCCAAATAATAGTTGGATCAAGTTTTTATTAAGTCAGTTCAACTAAAAATGTTTTGAACCCATCTATTAACCATAGTTTTAATTGGGCCAACTTTGTATTTTTGGAAGAGTTACTAGTTTACTTATTTTTATAGCGATCGCACGGTAAATCTTGTGCCCAATATATTTTATTATTTGAACGGGTTTTTTTATATGAAAATTATTTAAATATAGTTTTCTGATTTAAAGCTCTGTATAATAATATATTTAACATTTTTACTTATTTGGTACTAATAATATTAGGAATATTTGGAATATTGGACAATTATTTTTTACAACGCTAACCAAAATTGTTTTTTGTTTGCGAAATATTTATTTGGCGCTAATATTTTTTAGACACATGCACGTTCTGTTATTATACAAATAACATTGCCTTTTGCGTCATACTTTAATAAAACTGTATCAATATAGTATAAATTACATTTGTTAAATAGTGTTTAGTATATCCCTTTACATTTTATTCGACACACAATAGTTGTCCAAATTTAAAATATTGTAAATATTTTAATGAAAAAAAAAAAATTACAAATGAAATTATTTAATTAAAAAAAGATTCTTATCCCTATTGAAATATTACCACATTCATTGGTATATTTAACATTTGACTTATTTGGTACTAATAATATTAGGAATATTTGGAATATTGGATAATTATTTTATACAACGCTAACCTACATTTTTTTTTGCAAGTGAGATATTTATCCGGCTCTATTGTTTTAAGAAACATGAACGTTCTGTTATTTTACAAATAACATCGCCTTTTGCGGCATACTTTAATAAAACTGTTTCGATATAGTATGGATAACACTTGTTAAATAATGTATATAATATATCTTTAAATTTTATTCGACACAGAATGCTTAACAAATTAATTAATTGTTAATGTTTTTTTAAAAAAACGGTCCTACTTAAACTATGGGTTATAATAAGGACACAATAGATTCTAGTTGGAAGAACTAAGTAAATAATTGGACCAACTAAATGTTTACAGGAACAAATTTGTATTTAGTTATTACAACTATACATTAACTGTACTGATCTTTATAGAGATCACAAGGTAAATCTTGTGCCCAATATATTTTGTTATTTGAACGGGTTTTTTCATAAGAAACTTATTCATCAATGATTTTCTGACTTAAAGCTCTGTATAATAATATAATTAACATTTTTACTTATATGGTACTAATAATATTAGGAATATTTGGAATATTGGACAATTATTTTTTACAACGCTAACCAAAATTGTTTTTTGTTTGCGAATTATTTATTTGGCGCTAGTATTTTTTAGACACATGAACGTTCTGTTATTATACAAATAACATTGCCTTTTGCGTCATACTTTAATAAAACTGTATCAATATAGTATAAATTACATTTGTTAAATAGTGTTTATTATATCCCTTTACAATTTATTCGACACATAATGTCATCCAAATTAATTAATTGTAAATGTTTTTAAAAACAACAAATGTTGCTTATGTTAACAAATTCGCAAAAACAATTTTGCAAAATACATCTGGATTTTATTTTTTGGGTCGGTAATATATAAGCCTTTCGATTAGTCGTAAAAAAAACATTGAAGCAGCCAGTATAACTATCATTGCAATTATTTCGTAAGTATTATACGAAATTGTTTTCTTATATTTACTGGTTTATATATTTTCTGAATTAAAAATGTATTTAAAGTTACGAAATAATAATTTTAAATACAATAACTTAAAAAAAACACAGACTATTTAAATGATAATTTTTCAAATGATTCAAATACATTTTTAAACAAAGAACTTTTATTTGAATAATTTGATACCTAGACGATTATTTAAATATACTTTATTAGAATGATGCAGATCTCTGGTTATAATTACGCATAGCATAGTAAGCATAGTTCGTATCGAAGCGTTTATTTGAAAGTGATTTGATCCTAGTAAGCCAGTACAGTGGGGTCGAGGCATAATGGGATCAAAGCAATAGGGACGGGAAGACCTACAGGTCTACAGGAATTATTTTGTAATAAAAAGGGGAAAACCACTTTCAAATAAACGCTATAAACTCTTTGGTGCTAATTTTTAACGTAGTCGTTATTTTTTTTTTTAAATGTTCGTATTTTCTTGATGCTTTGTTTATGTTAAATGTTTACATCCATACCATATATATTGTAAATAGACATCTACATATTATAATATTTTTTAATACTATAATATGTTGCTGTCCTAATACAAGTGGTGGTCCTAATACTAGAGTCGATGTGAATTGTTTTTTAGTATTGTAGTGTAGTACTTTCAGGCTTCAGCACTTGTTTAGTTGTATACCATATTATACTTATATTATGTTTATTTTAGCTCCTCTTCAAGACGTATTAACTCCAGTTTGATTATGTATTTTTTAAACAAGGGTTTTGCATTAAGTGAATAATATCACCAGAAATTGTTGGGATCCCATATTGTTATTATTAAGAACATAACGTTTGAAGTAGAAACATGTGTTTTTGTAAAAAAATAGATTTTACATGCGATATTAAAGTTGAAAAAAAAAATTATCAAAATAGATACTTCTTACTATGGTAATATGTATATTTAAAATGTTGACTTAATGTTAAGTTTCAACGAAAAATTGCCTATACAATGCGCCTTAGTAAATGCTAGTGTAGAGGCCCCTTATGTACTTTAAAAATAGTTTTCCAAAACTAATGTAATCGACCAGTCAAAATTTTTAGTAAATTATTCTCAATTTCAAAAGTGAATGAAATGTATGTTTTAAAATGTATGTTTTAAAAGTTAGAGGTATTGAGTGGCCTATGATAAAATAATTACACTGTATATGTATATGTACTGAATTTGTATGAAAATCATTAAAGCAGTCAGTTTAACTATCGTTGCAATAGCTTAAGTAAGGTAAACTATCGAACTTTAAAAATAGTAACATTGTTTGCTTTCGTCGAGTTTTTAATAGTTTCTTCTAAGCAATAACGTGTTTACCTCAATACGGACAGACGTGTCTTTCTTATAGTGCTCCCTCGTGTAATCTATAAGTTTCTAAGCGACAAACCGTATCTATATCGCCTTGACATATTTAAGAAGCTTTTACACCTGTGTAGTTTCTATTGAAAACCACACTATTCAATTTAACAGTACTCTGAAACGACAAAAATATTGAACACTAGTATACATTTGTCAATAATTGTTTTTCGATATTTTCTATAATCGTATTTTGTGGTTACGTAATCTTTGCATCAATGTAAGAAAATCACGATTTTGTACCTGCATGTTTACAACAACACAAGTTTAAACTACACGCCAGAGCAATGTAAATAAGTAAACATAACGAAAAAAAAATAATCCCACTTAGAACTAAAAAATTTACATAGGCAATTCTGCAATAAATGTTTAGATTTTATTGTAAGTATACCTCCGTCTAATATAACATGTTTTAATTTGCAGACAAAAATGAAACTTTTCTATGTGATAGTGATCTATGCGTTTTTAAATGTTGTGGCAAATGGTGGTATGTATTCCTTGTACCTTTGTATCTACTCAAGCTTAGGTTTAAAAAAACTAAACAAAATTCAATATTTAATTTTTTTACAGCTTATAATACAGAAGTTAGAAGGAACCCTGAAGGTGCAGTACATTTTTTGTTTACAAAATAATACGTTTTTAATTTTTAAGACTTAACAGTTTTTATACATAATTTATTACAGAGAAACTCACTGACGTACATATTGATACAGGTTAGGTTAAGACATACTTAAAATAACGTTTTTACCTCAATACGTACAGACGTGTCTTTCTTAAAGTGCTCCCGCGTGTAATCTATACGTTTTTAAGTGACAAACCGTATCTATGTCGCCTTGACATACTTAAGAAGCTTTTACACCTGTGTAGTGTGCAGTTTCTATCGAAAACAACCCTATTCAATTTAACCGTACTTTGAAACGCATGAAACGACAAAAATTCATTATTCAACTTTTTTACAGAAAATGTAGAAGATAGAAAGAACCTTGAAACTACAAGTCAGTACATTTTTTGTTTACAAAATACTTTTTTTAAGTTTTAAGACTATACAATTTTTATACATAATTTATTACAGACGAACTCATTCGCTCATTGGTTGATAGAAGTAAGACATACTTAAAATTATTAATACTATAAATTTAATGGTTTTGTTGTACTTGCCACTTGCCTGACTATTAGGTTATTTATATTTATGAACTATAATCTCTATAAAAAATGTATTCAATTATTGGCTGTTGTGTGTATTGTATTTTTAAAAAATGGTTATTACCGAAAAACTCTAGGAGTTATCAATAGTGATGAAGTCGAGGTTTGTTGAGGATAATAAGCTCAAAAAACGCAACTTTTGTTGACAATATTTCTGAAAAGAGTCTTCTACACAAACAATATGATTATATAATATTTTAGTTTGTAAAATATTATTGATAATCTAGAATAGATATTATAGAATAATTGTGTAATAAAATTCCAACACGGTTTTTTACTAGTTAAATGGGCCACGTTTAACTTAAAATGTATTTGTATTCCAGCAGTCTCCAACCTGGGGGTAATTACCCCTCAAGGAGTAAAACACGATTTTTTTGAGGAATAAAGACTAAACTATTTTATTTTATTTTATGTACTTTATATATTTATTATTATTAACTCTGCATCAGTCATGTATACATGGGAATACATGTGTATTACCTAACCTTATGTCCTATTGACACTGATAATTTTATTACCTTCAAATATTTTCAATATTTTTACTTAACTTTTTTTTGGGAGGGAGGGTTATTTGTTAATATCTAGCATGATTTATGGGTAATTGGAAACTGCTGTTCTGTTTAAAATATTTTTATACATATTACTACGCATTAAAATTTCATTTTATTTTTCTTAACTCAATCAATTATTTGTCTATTTCAGGGAACGCGTGGTTCAAAATAAAATTTTTTGCTTGTCAACTTAGATTATCGATGAGTAATTATTATTTTATAACAAAACCGACTAAGTATGCTAGTAGAAGAAATGTTTTGGAAATAATACAATAATTATTGCAAAAAAAATTTACCAATGCAATTTTATGAGTGTTTTAACTATTAAATTTAAATCACTCAATATTCATTTGTAAATGTAAATTCATTATTATTATGTAACATGCGTATTATACCTTGACTTCCTCTTTTAAATTTATAACTAAACTTAAAATTAAGTCTAATATCATTTAAAAATACATTTTTTGTAATCATCATTTCAGAGCATTTGACTTTTATGTTTGCGATACCTGGTAATAATTGCAAATATTTCGATATAGTTGTTGGTTATTGTTATGTATAAAATAATTTCGTTTTAATTTCAGAACAAGATTGTGATAACAACTCCTTTCTCCGTAATTCATTTTTAATATTCATAGTACATATCACACAGTTTTTACATTAGTTTTTAAGTTATAAGAAAAATCATATGCATATTAATTTTTCCAAAACATTTGAAATATATAAAAATGAATTTTGTTTCAAATTTTAGAGTACATGATGGAGCTATATCTGCTATATAATTTACTCGAATACTCAGGTAATTATAAAATTCAATATATTTTCACAAACACTTTACAAAACTAATAGATAAATATTAATTGTACTTAAAAATATTTGGATTGAAATCATAGTCATAAACTAAATATTTTTCACTTAGTGTTAATGATCGTTTGATATCATTCCGTTCATTTTGTTTACTCAAATGCGGCTACTAAAAACTATATATATCTTATTGAACATTTCAATAAGATGCTTTCATATTAAAAAAATGTAAGAATGTGCGTAATCTTAAGCTTGTCACTCCTGGTACACTTCTCGTTAGTTAATCGTTAAAATTCACACTGAATAAACAAGTGTACACAAGTGAATACATGAAATGAAATGAAAATGAAAATAAAAAAAAATAATAATGTTAAAAACGTAAAACTTTATCGACCGCTGCAACCATTAGTCCCTTTCTTATTAGATAATACATTTACATGTTTTACACATAGGACTAGTAACTGTTCTTAATAAAATAACATTCTAGCGTGGAGTGTATGGGTAAGATTGGCTTTTTAATAATTTATTATTCTAAAAAAATTAGTTTTTAATAGGTTAAGCTGTTCTGACAGTATGCGTCTCATATAATTATCATCCGCTACAGCTGCTGAGCAATGTATAGCAAACTTAACGTATGGTAACCCTGGTACTGTGGCCGGCGGCACGTATTCAGTAGCTGAAGTCAAAGCACGCTATGTGGTGGCGGCGACAATGTAAACGTGTGTTTTATAGTACCCTGGTACCCATTATTACTATTCAATCACTAAATCTCTATCTTTATGTTGTTGACGCGAAATCGTAACACGAATATTTCACGCAAATTTTGGAATGACCCTCAGCCCAACTCTAATATCCATGTTACTTCTGAATTTGGCCCCTTATATTATTGAATTTATCATTCATTTTTTTTAACGTTGTGAATACTTATTTTCAATAATCGTACAATTATTTAATGCAAATTTTCTGTTTTTTGTTGCAGGCACTACTGTCGTTAAGCTTACACCTTTTGGTAATTACGCTTTATTCGACAGTCGTAAATAGCGCTTAAAATCTAGACGGTCATTTGAAATTTATTTTAAGTCAATCCAGGTTCCGTACGTTATACTGATAGAATAAACTGTTAAAATGAAAACGTTCAATTTATATGTTGACAGTAAACTAAACATAATATAATACAAATATTAGTTCAACAACTGTACGTTCATTTAAACGCTTATACTTTAACGTTCAAAAGACTTTTACCTCCAACTGAACGCAAAAAAATGATACTTACATTAAATTTTTAAACTTATAACGTTACACGTTTGAACTTCAAAACCCGCTACCCTGAACTGAATCTTAAACATTTACTTGTAAAAATGTAATTAACAAATAATTTTTATACGTACAGTTCAGTTTAACCGGTTTTGATGTGTTTTAACTTCAAAAACCGTTAAACTGAACTGTACGTATAAAAATGATATGTTCATCAAATTTTTTGTTTATAAACTTTTAGATTCGTTAATTTAAATAATATTTTTCTGAACCTTATTTGCATTCATACAACATGTTTATTTATCGATACATATTTTTACCTTATCGATACATTTTTTTTTAAATAGAAACCATATAAATTATAAACGTATAATTCCAATAAAAACATGTTTTAACGATTTGTGTGTTTGTTTAATGTGTGTTTTTCGAATAATGTAATTTGTAATTTTGAAATTGCGCCGTGTTTACTGAGGTTACAAAATTGTCATAATAAATATACTTTACAAAATTATTTATACTTTGTTTAACACATTAATTGAATTTTTCAGTTAAAGGTCTTGACAGTATGGATGACCTGGGAGCTAAGCGAAGAGATCTGTTGCTTAAACCATTAGGCGATTTAATAACGAATATTATAAATCGTAAATAATAAACTAATAAAAAAACTAGTAGTAACATGGAAAAAATACATATTTGGACTAACAAAGATTACAATTAGCACATTACATTTATAGTTGAAATAACTGTTAGACTTTGAGTATTTAGTGGATTTCGTCAAAATAAGAATTAACACAAGTTTATTACAAATGATATTTCACCACGATTAATACAATTAAGTTATAATTAAAGACTTATTATTCACAGTTAGCTTAAAGTATTAGCCAGAAACTTGATATGTTTACTAGCCACCTTAGATACATAAAATGTACCCCGTGGTGTTGCGGACTCGTACGCAAGCTATATACATCGTTATTTATCGTTATATTTCGTTATTTTTGACGTTGATTAGAATATTTACAATCTATACTAAATTATGTACAATAAGTAAATTTGCTGGAAGAAACAATAACAGCTACAGGGCGGCGAGGAGAAGGCTCACATTACAGCCACCTATCTAATGTGAGTTGATAGGTGTGAAGTGTGTGGGGCTTATAGGTTTAGGAAGAAGAAGTTAGTAATTATTAATTTATTGATAAATAATTTAATTTTTCTTTCTCCTGTAAAATTTACATTTTGTAACTCAATACACTTTTGCTTTTGAGGGAGGATATAAGATTAGCCTTAATTTTTGTTTGTCCAACTATGTATTTTTTTGTCAGTGCAGCAAGCTAAATTTGACTAATTTTTGAACATTTTTTTTAGAACCAGAGAACCATCATGTTGAATTTATCCACATATGTCGAATCATAGGATTGTTCATGAGTGTACAATATCCAAAACAATACGCAACAAATGCTGCTATTTCACTCGACCATACTTGTGTTATAAGTCATGGAGAGACAGTCATAAAGTCATACAAATACGTTGGGACTGATTTACATAATGTAGATAACGAAAACCATATGTCGGTAGGGAAAAGCATAACTCTTGAGTTATAATATATAATTTAAATAAATAATTTCTATACTCTCGGGTTTAGTTTAATAAATAATACATCAAATATAAAGTACTTATGTTATTATATTTTTTAAATATTTTTTGTGTGCCACAGTAATGTCAAAATTGTCAAATAATTAAATGTACTGCATAATAAAAAGTTTTTTCCTGCTATTATAAATTATTTCTAATTTAATAAGTTTGCTAGTACGCAATAAAGAGTGTCGTATTTTTATCTCTTTTTTCGAGCGTAAAGTTTTAGTACTACAAAAGTAAAAGTTTAATGTATTTCGTAAGTAGTACTAAAGATTTATCGAGTTTAATGCAGTTAAGCGTATACTTGTGCGTATAGGGAAAATCTAAACAAAGACTCAACAACAGATTTATCGATAGCCATCTGTATTTTAAAGTCATGGTTGAGGCAAAGAGGATTTTTGAAATATAAGGATGATCAACGTAATAAGATAAGACTGAACGTGTATAAGCAACTACCAATTATTTCAAGTAAATCATCTACAACAGAAATACAACGACATTTATTTTTGATACTCGTGTATGGTTATGGAGGTTTCACCTCTAATTATAAGTGATAATCATGTTCAAATTAGGTTTTTCTAATAATGCTCTAAGGCTTGGCCCTACAAGCGAGTGTCTAGCGCTCTTTGCTTAAAGTTAGATGGTTAAAAATCAAGTGTCCCATGTTTCTTACTTTATGGGTTGAAAATGGAAAGAAATGTCTAGAGGTCAGTCGGCTAATTGGCTGGTATGGTGTACCTAATCACTGTCAAATCAAGGTTTCTTTATCAAATGATAAAGAGGAACAACTCTTTGAACTCTGTTGACGGATTTGAATGAGCTAATTTGAGACGCACCCCAAAAGTTGGCATAAGGGTACCGCATTTTAGGATTGTTCTGGTTAAAGAGCAGTGGAGAAATTTAAGGATAAAGTTCATTATCAAATTTTAAAATCACTAGTGTTGCTTATTAAAAATCTAATCAAATTATAAAACAGTCCTGGTTCTTGTCGCCTGGACAGTCTCACATAAATTTGAGCGACGTTTTCACGGCATTTTCTTTTCTCACTTCAGATAAATTTGAGGAAGATTGAACACGCGGAAATGAAAAGAGAATGAAGTTGGTTACAACAGACATGTGTGTTCGATTAGAAACTACCTATCAACAACTTAAACAATAACTACCGATCTACCAAGTCCCTACTTCCAGACAGGATATCAATGAAGTCAAAGAGTACTGGGAACTTAAGGTAGCTTTTTCTAAGCGCCGTGATGCAAGGAATCGAACGAAACCAACCGCGAAAAAATCCGTCCAATAGTATAGACGGGGAAAAAAACAAACAGACAGACAAACACACATCACGAATTATAAAGAAGGGAGATAAGAAACTAAATTGGATATATAATTTCGCTGCACGACACATTCTTTATAAGGTGTGGTTATTGTGAAATCAATGTGATTTATTAGGGTATGGAATAGAGGTATGGAGCGGGAGGATGGCATAGGGACAAGGACGTTTACGGTAGTTAACAATGTCGGGCTGCCTACTGCACCATGGAGTAATTTTGAGAAAAATTAAAGATTTGCTTCCAAGCGTCTGTCAGCTAACGTAGTCAGGCCCAGGTGGTTTACTACTACGGAGTAATCGTGAGGGGGTGATCAATTTTAAATAGATAAGGCGCAAAAGCTAGGAAAATCCATTGGACCCGTTCTAGCTGCGCTTAGTCAAATCCATACACAAGTCAGTACAAGGATTTTAAAAATGTATATTCTAGTGTCATTTGCTTAATGACTCCAAGCACCTTAAGCGCACTACATGAGACGCTCTCTTTATGTTTATGGAAACTCTAATTTTCATTGTAGATGATACCTAAGTAGAGTTACCGAATTTTATAGGTATCATTACCATTGACCATATAAGTGAAGCGAAGGAGGTCGAGAGAACGACCTAAACTCACACTTGAAAACATTTAAATCTAACCCCAACGTGTTCAACCAATCTTCTTAATTTTTCTATTTCTCCGATAATCTCTGTCACTTGTTTCCAACTTTCTTTTTAACCTAACCTCTATTTTTCTTTGTATTTGGTTATCTAATTGTGTCAACTGTTCATTTATTATATCTGTATATTTAGTTAAACCAGGCGCTACGGTTTATTTTAAACTGCATTATTTCAAATTTTGTTTTTGAATTTAAATGACATTTAATATCGATTCTTTTTAACCAATGACGTAGCCAATGGTGGGGGGGGGGGGTGCGATCAAGAAATTTTTTTTTTTTTTTAATTGTTTTTAGAAATATTACTAAAACTTCGTATGATTCGATGGATCTTGGACATTTTAAAGAAATCGTTTTAGATGCGCAAACTAAACGGTTTATATTGAAAATGAGCATAGTAGATCTAAAGTTAAAGAACTTTTTGCTCAAAATTCAGACGATCGATCATTTTCAGAAAAATATTATTTTATAGTGTCCAAATCTGGTTTAAAAATCGAACTTTCGTGGTTGAGTTAAATCTCTAGTCGATGAAGTATCCGAGTATGATCCGAGTTCCGCTGAATTAGTTGGGTTTGTACTTGCTTGTATGTTAGAAAAGTTGCGTAGTGAATTAACACCATGTGCGTTTCAATAGCAATATGACCAAGGCGAAGATGCCGAGAGCATTAGAGAGTGTCGAGTTAAAGTATGATTATAAATCTCACATGTTCAGATTTTCCAAAAATCCGTGCTAATTCCATTTAACCTTGTATATTTCAATCATGGTTACTACCATCTAATAAAATTTGATTAATCAAAACTTACTACACGAATATAATTTAAATATATATATATACATATACTATGATATTTTTTTTAAATAAAAAAAACAAGAAACGATAGATGGATCTGTGATTTATTAAGTTTGTAGTATATAATAAATATATTTAAATAATAGCTGGCCAATATTAACTAGCTAGTTAGTTACCTTGTTAGTTTAAAACGTAATGTTGATACATGGTCTATTATTATTTCAAAATTCGAACGTTATTGAATATATTGTACAAAAAAAATGTCTACATGGAGAGATGTAACAATATTAGACAAGTGCGTCAAAAAATTGAAGAAAGCAGTAAAGCGAGGATGCTCCAAGCCTTGCTGTTACCATGCGTACTGTAGGAAGACTACCATCGACCGGAATTGCCTGACACAATTGGAACACGAACAACTACTATCTACACCAAAAGGATACATATTTGTGGGCGATGCGCAAAGAAGAGCCGAACTAAAAAAATGCACGAAAGATAACATGAAAACCAGACTCGGCACAGGCGACATGCGACCAACGTAGGGAACTTCTTGGACTGATATCTAGCTATGTTTATGTTATATATTTAATTTTTTCAGAGTTACATCAATGCCAAAACAGTATACGATAGCTAGTCTCTGCAACTATTTTAACAGTCTTGAAATACAATGCAACTCACAGGCTTGGCGAAAAGAATTCTTAAGCACCGTGATGAACAGCGTGCTACAAATAATCGTCAGTGATATAAAAGAAGTAAATACTTCTGAGACAGCCAACATTATTCTCAAAACTCTAGATAGTATTACTAATAGTAAGACAACTATGTCGTCACCCAAAGACCGATTACAAGAAGTGCAGGTATACTTGTCTTCAGCGTTAGCGCCTTGGTTAGAAAAGCCTACAGATAATATATGTGCGGACGCGGGTAAAACACGTGGTAAAACTGGAACTGATGCAAAAAGTGGTACAGTTGGTGTTGGTGGTGGTGAAAAAAACGGTATAGGTGCTAATGGTAGAAAAAGTGGAAAAGGCGGTAAAGCTGGCGCTGATGGAAAAAGAGGTAAAGGTGATGATAGTGAAATAGGCGGTAAAGCTGGAGCTAATGAAAAAAGTGGCAGAAATGCTGAAGGTGGAAAAGGCGGTAAAGCAGGGACTCGTGGAAAAAGTGGTAAATCTGACGCTGATGAAAAAAGTGGTAAAGATGCTGATGGTGGAAAAGGTGGGAAATATGGAGCTGATGGTGTAAAAGGTGGTAAAGCTGGAGCTGGTGGAAAAAGTGGCGCAAGTGCTGATGGTGGGAAAGACAGTAAAGCAGTGGCTAGTGGAAGAAGTGGTAAAGATGTTAACGGTGGAAAAGGTGGTAATGCTGGAGCTGATGGAAAAAGTGGTAAAGGTGCTTATGGTGGAAAAGGCAGTAAAGCTGGAGCTGATGGAAAAAGTAGCACAGGTGCTGATGGTGAAAAAGACAGTAAAGCAGTGGCTGGAGGAAGAAGTGGTAAAGGTGTGAATGATGGAAAAGGTAGTAAAACTGGAGGTGATGGAAAAAGTGGCACAGGTGCTGATGGTGGAAAAAGTGGAAAAGACGGTAAAGCCAGCGCTGATGGAAAAAGAGGTAAAGGTGCTGATAGTGAAATAGGCGGTAAAGCTGGAGCTAATGAAAAAAGTGGTAAAAGTGCTGGAGGAAAAGAAGGTAAAGCTGGCACTGATGAGAAAAGTGGTAGAGATACTGAAGGTGGAAAAGGTGGTAAAGCAGGGGCTCGTGGAAAAAGTGGTAAATCTGACGCTGATGAAAAAAGTGGTAAAGATGCTGATGGTGGAAAAGGTGGGAAATATGGAGCTGATGGTGGAAAAGGTGGTAAAGCTGGAGCTGATGGTGTAAAAGGTGGTAAAGCTGGAGCTGGTGGAAAAAGTGGCACAGGTTCTGATGGTGGAAAAGACAGTAAAGCAGTGGCTGGTGGGATAAGTGGTACAGTTGGTGTTGGAACTGGCGCTGGTGGAAAAAGTGATGCAGCTGGTGTCGGTGCTGGTGGCACAGCTAACAATACTGACTATGAAACAACTCACCCAGACATCCATTCAAGAAAAGAGGACGAAAAAACTATGAAAGACCAAGACGGCAAACAAGAGTTGGATAAAACGGAAAATAACGCAAAAGACGACGGTAAGTCACGTAATTAGGGATATGTATAGTGCTAAGGTTGATAAGAAATGTATATTTAGATAGACGTCTTGCTTTGGAAGCCGAACATGAATTTCAGGCCACCTTGACTGAAATAGTGGCTGAATGTATTAGAAAACACGAGACGCGGAAAACCCGAACTCGACCGTCAAAAAAATGTGTAACGTTTACGGATAAAACCACGTGCCCTGGAATAAATATCAAAGAGTTACGTTTGAGGAAACAAGCCGAGTTAAAGGTAATATTATTATAACCACATTCAATTTAAGCACTCATGGTAGCTAAATCACTAAGTGGTTCTTAAAAACAATAACAAAATATATATTTTTTTTAAATTTAAAACAAAGACATCTGTATGACAATGACAATAAGTAAACTAGATAGTTTGCATCATACATGAATGTCATGATGATGAAATCACCTAGTGTTAACACCTTTTTAATAATTCAACAGGTCTCATCACTAAATACGTTGTACAGGGCCGATGCTAAGAAATATGCAAGGGGGAGTGTCAAAATGAAGATGCCGACTTTAAAATTTTAATTACCGACTAAAATATTTGGGTACTTTCGTAAACATTTTATAACATTTTACAACACAAGTCACAATTTTTTGCTAAAATTAATGGGAATTAATAATTGTTGAAAATTATTTTTTTTTTAACTTTGAATTATTATTTTTTAAGTATAAATAATACAAACAAATTTAGATAATAAAAAAACCATCAAAAGTTAAACTTTAATATGGCGTTTTTTTTTTAATGCGGGCTATTTCCTTGTTATTTCTTCCAAATCAATTATATCGAGAATATCTCTGGTGGAGTTTAAAATCGCGGGAGTCATTTTTTATTATTTTTGAAAGAATAAGAAGAAAAATGATAATGATGTGATATTGTGACTTGATTTTTGTGATTTTTAAAATGTTTTTGGAGCATAGAAATATTTTAGGCAGCTAACAAATTTATTTATTACTACATTTTCAGTTCTCAGTCACCAATACTAAAACAATTTGAGCCCTACTTTAAAAGCATTATTTTAAAAAAGTTTGAATTTATTTAACATAATTATAACGTATTGCAGTTGAAACTGCAATTTAACCGAGCTATAATCCAAATAGCCTTATTTTAAATAATTTTATAAAAAATAATGAAATTGTATTCAAAATTATTATTAAAATCTTTGAAATAAAAACAAAAATGTATTTTTTTATGAATTATTATCTAAATACAACTTTATTTTTATTTTAGTTAGGTACACTATTTAAAAATAATGCTCATGTCTTCTCCCTGCTCGCTATATATATAGTATAGTAGGATATTATAGTAGGTAATATCCCACCGCAACGATAGTAATAAAGAAGAAACAAGACATAGTGAAGTAGTACCAAGGAACTCTCATAGGCCTTAAAAATCTGGCTTAATGATTTTTTTCTAAATACGTATCCGTCTCATACCTTTTGTTCAAAATTTACTCGGGCAGGCTCAAAAGGATTGTTAGCAGCTCCTTGGTGTTTCATATTCATTCTCTAACCATATATATATATTAGATTACACACATTTATAACCAATACTTATTATTTTACACGCGCACACGGGACAAGCAAAAATAAACCCGCTAACTCTTTGCCTGCAGACTTAATACTATGGGTTATGTGATATGTCTAAAACAGAAGAGTAGGTTTTTTTTTTTTATAGTAGGGAATATTTTAGAATTTTAAAACTAAAATAAAAATATATACTTATAGAGGGATAGAATGTTTGTTTACAATAGACCAATAGGTCCCATGGCCGAACATCGTTTGATATAATAATATACACCACAGTTATTATAAACAAATAATAATACTTCTGCTAAAATGGGGAATAACCGAAAATGCATTGTTCTTTTTTTACTAAAAACTAAAATTATATTTTCGTATGGTCGTCCGTATGCCGACTATTCACTATTCGTCGCTAGATTCCAATAAAAATTATGTACCTACCTACTTTTATAAAATAAAAATAATAAATATGTTATTTGTATAATTTTACGGGGGTTATAATATTTACCGACTTTTTGTTCCGAATGTGCCGACTAGGTATACTTGAGTTTTCCGAGTGGGGGGGTGTCAACCCCCCCCCCCACACCCCCCTTTAAGTCCGGCCCTGACGTTGTAATCTACGTGTATGACTTGGGAGTGTGACGGTAGCCAAAATATACAAGTGGGTTAAAATGCAGGCTTAAATATTTTTAATTTGATAGCAACAAGTCAGTGAGTAGTATAAGGAGGCATATCTGCCGTAAAAACTTTTTAATGATCAGAAAATAAATCACTGACTTGTAGAACCAAATATATTTGGTTAGTAGACGACAGATCATTATCCTGTCACACGACAAATATTTTCTAAGTATGGTTTTATAAAAATATAGTAGGGAGCTAGCAAGAAGAATTTTGATTAGTATAATACGCTAGATTCGAATACTAATATGCTAGATTCTTTTAGAAGTTGCTTTCCAAGGCGAGCCATTATTAATATCGACAAATTTCATACACTGCTTTGTTAAAAGAAAATGTTCATATTTGTGCATTTACAGTTAATAGTATAAGGAATTTGATAATAAAGTTGTTTTTATAGTCTTATTTTTGGCCAAACGGCTCTAGCACGACGAAATATGTAAAACAAAATATGTAAAACTACTATTAACGTTAATTGTGTGATATTTTTGGGTAGGTTCGCACATGGTTGCAAAAGACGACCGAAGACGATGATTCCCTGTGTTCACCACGATGCTCTCTTGATTATGGATTAAATGGAAATAAAAGTGCTCCGTTATGCGAAAAAATCAGATGTTTTGCTTTCGAAAACGATCGCAGTCGTACTTGCCCAGTAATAAAACCTGACAATAGTTGTGGCGTCCCAAAAAGCGAAGGCAAAGAGGGATATTTGCTTCGATTAGACAAGCAGATCCAAGAAATGGAAAATGATTGCCTTTTACGCAATCGACAATTTTTAAAGATCATCAAAAAAGGAGCATATTAAATCGCAAGAAGAATGATCGTGTTAGCTGTTATTTAAAATATAAAATTAAAAATCTCAATAATTGTATTATAATACAAACAAACAAAAATAGTGAAAAGTGAACTAAAAAGTAAAAAAAAAAATGTTATTACAAGAACAAGTTACCAAACAACCGAAAATTAACTACAATTTTAAATAATGTTAAACGTCTTTAATTTTTGACTTAAAAGAAAAGCGTGGGCCCTATTCAACGAAGTTCTAATTCATTGAGTTAAGTATTATGAAATGAATGTGTCATACACAAATATTAAACTAAATTTTAATTACAAAAGAACTTACAATATAAAACATTATCTGATAAATTTATTAAGGACTTTGTTAAATAGGGCCCACGCTTTTTTTTTTAGTCAAAAATTAAAGATATTTAACATTATTTAAAATTGTTGTTAATTTTCGGTTGTTTGGTAAATTGTTCTTGTAATAACATTTTTTTTTACTTTTTAGTTCACTTTTTACTATTTTTTTTTTTTAGAAAAGCATGTTTTAAAAAAGTTTTTTTTATTTATTTTTTTACTTTTTAGTCCTATTAAAGGTATTTAATAATTGCTGAATAGATTACTAAATTAATTTTGGAAGATTTGGAAAAAAATGAAATGTTAGTGAAATGACCCCCGCATTTGACCCTGTATAGGGTGACCTGGTTGTCCGAGCCCCAGTATAATTACAGGATATTGTATTGACATATAAGATGAGTGTCTGTGCCAAGGTTCAGCCCTATACGACATCGGGAAGTGGGTTAAACTAATTTTGCAAAATACCCATACGTACGTGTTAGTGAGCTAAAGAAAAGCATGTAAAAATAGCTAAAAACGTGGTAAAATGTTTTCAGCGGAACAGGAACCCTTGAATTTAAATTGTTTGACAATAGTCTTTGTGAACCAATTTGTGCTATCAATAATAGCAAAGTCGGTCAAGGAAAAATATTATGTAGTAACCCCCAAATTAAAATATTATGAAAAAAACAGTGGTTATATTATATAGTCTAAGCGACAGTGTAGGCGCTTACAACAAAGATCAAACTATGTAAGCTGTCGATAGGTATATGTTTGACAAGAGAAGAAAATAGCACGTTTGAATGTAAAATAACTCCTAGATTATGCAGTGTAGAAACATCTTCTAGCTAGACATTGAGTAGTAAATAGTAGTCATAGTCTATGTTGTGGTGTGCCCGAAAAAAGAAAACTGTACACATTTAGATATATTGAAATGTAACCCATTCATTCGAGTAGAACTCCAATAATTGCCAAGATTTCTAAGATCAGCCCGCACCTTAAAACCGTCCTCGTGAGAATATTTTACTGTAGCATATTATTTTAGGTCATCTACAAAAACATGATATTTTTTCGAATTCAAAACAAGGTCTTACATCCATAATGAAAATAAACATATTAGAGGAGACAGATGATCTTAAATAAATCTGAAAAAAATCAAAGAGGCTATAAGTAAAATAAAGTATTTGTTTTTCCAAGGTTTCCAAATCTTAATCATAATATTTGATTAACCGTTATCGTTATCTATAAAATGATCGGACGCGTTTACGCGCCCATAACACTACACAATTAATTTTCTAGGGACCAGTGTTTGAATAATTAAATTTTTTATTTGCCTATTAATATTTTTTCTTCGATATTTTGGGAATCAATTGCTAACTTTAACACTTAAAATCTCCTAAAATACTGCGAAAAATAATGGACGTTTAACTTCTTGACCTAAATCTCAATGTAATATGTAATCTCAAAAAAAAAATAATTAAAAATTAAAATTGTACGCAGGATGGAGAATTTGCAGAACGTTAGAAACAGCTTATCGGTAAAAGGGGTAAAGTTAATCGAAAATAATAATACAAATATACACACGGTGTATATTTTATATGTCGTTACACAAACATGCACTCGATAATAACCGTTGGTTACACTAGAACTGAGTAAAAAAAAAACAACA